TCAGCAGGACATGCACCCAGGACCTACAAAGGTGACCTTGGAAAGTAACTGCCCTAGAGCATGAAGCAACGACCGTCCCCCGTTAAGACCGGAATGGTAACACCAACCGACATGAAAACACACCAAATGGGGACCAGCAGGTGGCGTGGTGGTTAAGGCGCTAGACGCTCCAACATGGCCAACCACAGGTCAAGGCTTCAAGTCCCAGACCTGGTGGCTTCCTTTCTCACTTCCCTTCTCTCTCTCTGTGTCTCTCCCCAGTCAAATTTTAAAAATAAATGAATGAATAAATAAAATAAATATTTTTTTAAAAAAGAAGGTACACCAGATGTGTGGAAGGAGCCCAAAATCCTCACAATGGAGGAAAAAGGGCTGCAATGTGTCCACTCCTCAGGGGGTGCTGGTATGCACGCTCTACCCCACCACCACGAGAATGCACACACCCTATTAGAAAAATCAATCAATCAATAAATTAATTAATTAAAAATAGCAGTATTCGCAGAACTGGAAGAATCAAGAGAAGCTAAATGAATTACTTCCCCAGGAGCACACAGGTAATTAGTGGTTATAAAAAGCACAAATCTAAGCTTCTGATGACTATTTGACGATGATAAAGTCTGCAAAAACGGAACAGATTTTAAAAAACAACAACAAATATGTGTGCTAGGAAACTTGCTGGTACAGTATTTTTTTTTTTTGTTAAGAGAGACAGATTTTTACTATAGGGCGTGCATGCTCGCTGGAGAGACGGAGAGACAGAAAGTGAGAAATCACCTCCCATCTCAGGGGATGGATGTGGCGCACTCCCTTCTGTTCATTCTCCTCTCGGGATCTTGGGCACACATGCACACGCACCCGGCGTGAGTTTAAGGTGCTGGGTCTGTCACTGGAACCGTGGTCAACTACGTGGGAATCCAGTGACATAGCCATTACGCTAACTGCTGGTCCTTCCTTTTCCTTTTCTCTTAAACCCCAAAGAAAATGAAAGTCCTGCATAAATTCTCCCAGTGACAAAGTTCTGGCATCTGCAGGGACTCATTCTAAAGGTGGCCCCTTAAAACTGCACCCAATGCTTCTGCACCTCAAATACTGACAAGGTCACAAACGTAGTGCCAAGGAGGCTGAGGTCTAGGCCATTCAGGGTGGTCCTTGATCTAACCGTCCAAAGGAATGGCCTTCACCTGCGGCGAAATGAGCAGGACAGATGACGCTGGAGACTTCCGCCACCTTCACTCGTAATAACTGTCAGACACGCGGCACCCACAACCCAGAAAACAGTCCCGAGAAATGCCTGCAGGTCACCTAGCTGTCACGGCGACCTTTCGACGAGGACAAGGGTTTGGAAGCAAAGTACAGGCTACCCTGGAGGACACCCTGCCTGTTTGGACCTCGGTCTTCCTGTCCCTGGCGGATTGTAGGGATTGTACCGTACCTTTCCGATGGGAACGGCCGACAAGAGGGGAGACGACAAGAGGGGAGACGGGGTGAGGAGGGAGGGCAAGGGCATGGGCTCAGAGAAGGCTGTGTAGCTTTACTTCCACTGAACCAAAGCGGCATGCTACCCACGCCAGCCCCCACCGGCAGACAGTGAAATTCCTGAGTCCACCAACGAAGCCCGCGTGGCTGGAAACGTGGGAATTAACTATAAATCCCTGCAGGGCACGTCTTAAACCCTTTTGAATCACCACAGTATTGTTTTCACTCAACGACTGCTTAGAACAGTAAAATATCTGAACATTCTCAAGAATTACAAGTTCCTCTGGGGGCGTGTGTGCGTACCCACACTGCCAGATACACATCTGCTGACACAGATAATCCTGTCCCCACTGGGTGACAGGTACCGACTCCTCACCCTCATGCCCCACGTGCTCCCTGGACGTGCTGGGTACCTGGGCACCCACGAGCCCTGCCAATCCCCACCCTGCAGCTCACTGACAGGTGGAGTCAAGATCCACACGCACAAAGGCGCATGGAGGAGAAAGTTGTCTGGGGCGGCCTGAGTCTCTTCACAAAGCTCAAACAGAAAACCGGAAGGCAGAGGGGGCCACCCACGAATGCCCAGAACACAAGGGATTACTCAGCCCAGCCACAGGAATCCCTGCCCCATCCCAACAGGAAAGGGAAGAACACGCTCTCCGAACCCGTCTGACACACCGGAGAAACCGGTTTCTACCACATGGGCGGGGAGAGACGAAAAGACCGTGGGTGTAACTTCGTGTTTTGTTTATATTTACCTACTGTGGCTCCTCTCCTAGGAAACCAAAATAAAATTAAATCCCAGCATGGATGAGAAGAAAACAAGATCCCAGAAATGTCGTTTCTGTCTCTGTCACATCCTAGGAGGCCATCTAGTGTGACAGCGCCATCGTGGGCTCCATGAGGAGAGGCCCCTAGACTAGTCTCCGTAGTTCTGGTCTGCAGTTCTGCAGTCATCACAAACTCGACAGATAAGAAAGGTCGCAGCCCCAAGCTGAGCCCTTGGCTGGTTCATCCGCTGGTACCGTCAAGCCCACCTCTCCAGGCCCCTGTCCCGAAGCCCATCAGCTGAACTCTGGGATCATTTCTCCGTTCCTTTCAGACTTAGCAGCTCGCCAGGCACTTGACCTATTACAACCTATTCCCTCGGCCACTACCACCACAGCACCCTGTCCTGTGCCCTGGAAGTCCCCCTCGTGGGCAGCGGGGCATGTGCCAAGGCGCTCTCCTGTCCCGCACACCCCACACGGTGGGACACGAGGTCAGCAGGGTCAGAGCTGACGTCCCACCTCACTCGTTACAGGACCCTAGAAGGCTGACCTAGACAGCTGGACCAGAGTCCTTGAGCCCCCTGAGCCGCATTCCCCTTGCTTCAATCTCTCTGGTTCCTTTTCCCTCACTTCCGTTCCCTCACACCACCACCACTAACGTTTCTTTTTCCTTTATTTTTGGAGAGGTTTTTGCTATAGGGTGCGTGCACTTGCCAGAAAGACAGAGACAGAAAGCGAGAAATCAGCCCCCAGGGGCGATGGCCATGCCGCAATCCCTTCTCCTCCGTTCTCTTCTCGGCATCTTGGGCATGCACGTACATGTGCCCGGCGTGAGTTGGGTCTGGGACTTGAACCGCAGTCGACTACATGGGAGTCCAGCGACATAGCCATTACGCCAACTGCTGGTCCCACTGCCACTAACGTTTCTATTTATCCCTTTCCTATTTTATTTTCCCCCAAATTGCCAGAGGTATATGCACTCCCCCCGGAGGAGAGGGAGAAAGGAGCTCCCGAGGAGGCATCCACACCACAGTTCCTTAGACAACTTTTCTCCACGCTGTCAGGCTAGCAGGCATGCACCTGCACCCACCATGTTCTTCAAGCTACCAGGGACAGGGTTTGAACTTCGGTCCACCACATGGGATCTGGCTCCCCTTAACCACCTGGCTATGTGGCGAGTCATACCACTTCCCATCATCCCTGGCTGGCTAAGTGCCCACATCTGCAACCTTCCACTGCCTTTTCTCTTCTTAAAAATCGTCCCCTTTGGGGCCAGCAGATGGTGTAGTGGATATGTCGCTGGACTTCCATATGGTCGACTATAGTTCAAGTCCTGGACCCGGCGGCGTTAACCTCATGCCAGGCACATGTCTGTGTGTCCAAGATCCCAGGAGGAGAAGGGAGTGTGGCATGGCCATCCCCCAGGGGGTGATTTCTCAATTTCTCTCTCACGGTCTGTCTCTCCCCTCTTTCAAAACAAGTTCTTATTATGAAATCCCCATCACTAATGTCAGCTTAGTGTTTTCATAGCACAGCTCTGATTAAGTCACGTCCCTGATGGAAAACAACACACTTAAGTGAGTTTCCTCTCTCTGAGACCCTTTTTTTCCTGCCTTCTATCCTTCTCTACCCTCGGTCCCTGAGAATATCAATCTACTTCATAATTCGTGGGCACTTTCTTCATTCCACAAGAGAATGAATGGTTTGCTTTCTAGACCCCACATCCACCATATTTACAACTACATCAAAAAGATTTTCCCCAAACCTTTCGAGCATACCCACTTCCTCAGGGTGGACCTTGCTGTTCTGGTTCCTCCCATGGGCAGCTCTAATGAAGGCCTTTTCCTGGGCTACACAGCACACAAACCCAGCCTGAACACTGCACCGGATGGTGCTGTAGTAGTAACCTACTGGGTGTGCAGTGTCTGGCACTCAGAGAGACTTCCGGAACAGGTGGTGTCCCTGCCCAGCTGTGCAGTCCTCACCCTTCTGGCCCTCGGATTTCTCTTCCTGCTGGTTTACCCAGAGCTACGGGGTTTACTTTCCTTGCCCCAAACTCGACGGCAGACCTACCATGCCCGTTGTGGACGTGCTTGTGGGATTTTCCTTTCCTGGGGGTGGACTGGCATGAAGATGAAGCATTGTTGGTGGCTGTTTTGACGTCTTCTGTTTCGTCATCTTCCTCCTCAACGTCCTCCTCGTCCTGAGAGCTTCCAAAATACACCATGCTGTTGGGCAGCGCAGGAGAACCTGGGGGTACAGAAACACAGCTCGTGAATATGAGCTCTGGTCCCTGCCCCGCCGGGGGCTCCACGGTGAGGGTTCGCATTTCTGAGGTCACGATACGAAATCCTCTAGGCCAGGCCAGGACAAAGCCAGCCCTCTACTGCCCCTGGTCATTTAGTTTTCAAATACCCCCCCAGGAAACCCAACTCCATCTCTGTCCTTGGAAACAGATTTCAAGCAAAACCTTCGCAGCAGGAGTGATGCTATTCACCAAACACGACCCATCAAATATTTTTAACCTTTCATCTGAATAATCCTCGAAAAAATAACACAAAGACTAAATTGAGCAAGAAAATGTAATGAAAATGAAAATACCTATCCGCATTGAAGAGTGACTAACTAGATTACATATTTAAAGTAGTTAAAAAAAAGAGAGAGAAATTTTTGCTATATGATGTGTGTGCTCACCAGAGAGAGACAGAGAGAGAGAACAAGAAATCACCACCCAGGGGCGATGGCCATGCTGCAATCCCTTCTCCTCCATTCTCCTCTAGGGATCTTGGCCAGGAACATACACCCAGTGTGAATTTCAAGCTGCCAGATCCAGGACTTGAACCACAGTTGGTCATGTGTGAGTCCAGCAATGTAACCACTACACCATCTGCTGGTCCCACACACACTGGTCAATTTTACAAACAAACGCAAAAACAATTGGAACCCAGACGCTAAAATTTAACCACTGTTGGTGGCAGGAGGAGCCACGGCCACCTTGGTGTCCCAAGCTGCAGCTTGGGCTTCTGGGAACTTGATGGAGAGAGATGAGAGATGCCCACCAGCGAGCTCCACTGCTGTCCTGGGAAATCACTCCCACGAGAGCAGAGAGCCTCTGTGAGAGAAGGGAGAGCCTTTAAAAGACCAGGCAGCAAAGGAGCAATCCGGACGCTGGGAAAGGCGACCTGGGACCAGATCTGCATTGAGGATGGTACAGCGCCTGCTCAGTTCTTGGATGAAGCAAGACAGGGGCCTCCAGTGGACTCCCCTTTGGGGAGAGCTCTGCGTCTAAAGACACAGACCCCGAACAAGCCCAAGAGCACGAGAGAGAGACAGATGCCTTCAGGGCCATGCTGGAGGCCCAGCAGGAAGCTTGGCAGGAGCTGGGACTCAAGTCCCCAGGACTGTACACTGAGGCAAGCAAGCAGGATCCCAGGCTACTCCCTTTTGAACACTTAGAATTTGAAAACAACAAAGTAGGGGCCAGGCAGTGGAGTGGCATAGTGTGGTGTGGCCTGGCTAGGTGTGGCGTGACGTGGCGTGGCGTGATGTGGCGTGGTGTGGCATGGCGTGGCATGGTGGTGAAGGCAGCCTCATCCTGCAGGGCCAACTGCGTAGTCTGAATCTCAGACTGGACAGCTTCAAGGACAAGCCGTGGTCTGTTTTTTGTAAGCCAAAGATCCCAAGAGGAAAATGGGGAAAAACGAAGGGATTAGGGTGTGGCCATCCCCAAGGGGTACTTTGTAACTTTCCCTCTCTCAGTCCAGTGCAGGTGCCCAACCACAAATCTTAAAAGCAAAACAAAGCAGGGGACCAGCAGTTAGCGTAATGGCTATGTCACTGGACTCCCAGACCTGGGGGCTTAAACTCACGCTGGGCGTGTGTGCGTGCATGCCCAAGATCCCGAGAGGAGAATGGAGAAGGGACTGAGGCATGGCCATCCCCCCTGGGGGGTGATTTCTCACTTTCTATCTCTCTCTGTATGGTGAGTGCACGCACCCTATACCAAAAACCTCCCCCCCCCAAAAAAGCAAAAAGTGAAGTGTTCCCAAAAGTGGAGGATTCAGAAAAACTAAATAAATGCCTTACCCAGAAGCACACAGGCCCTCATAAAATCCAAAGAGTGTGTGCGCTGGAATACTTCATTAGAAATAGCTCGTTACTTCTGGAACTTGGCATCAAAGCAGTTAGATTCACATCTAGAAAACCTCTTTTTTTCCAAAGGTTTTTGTCATCAGGTGCATGTGCTCACCCGAAAATGACAGTGATGGAGAAAACGAAAGTGAGAACTCGGATGGCCACGCCGCAATCCCTTCTCCTCTGTTCTCTCGAGATTTTGGGAGCACGCACATGTACCTGGCGACATTTTCAAGCAGTCTGATCCAAGCCTCAAACCGAGGTCGACTATGTGGGTGTCCTGCACCTGAACCATGAACCCTGGCCCTCTAGAAAACTTATGAGAGACTCTTCTGGCCTCCATGTTCGGGTTGGGAAAATCTTTTGCAAAGCTCACTGTGGGTCCGACCCTGCAGAAAATGAAAACGGAACAAGTGGGATGGAAAGAGGAAGAGGGCTGAGAGACAGGTGAGTCACGCACAGGAAAGATGTTCCAGACCCAGCACGGTGACCCCGCGTGAGCACGGAGGCCATCTGGAGGACTGTGTTCGGTGCCCCAGCGGCCCTGTCCATGCCTGGTGCATGTTCCCATGATCATGGGCAGCTGGGACAGGCTAGGGGAGGATCACGGCGTGAGACGCTGTTGAAGGGTCTTCTCGCACTCTCTCCGCATAGAAAGAAACATTTAAAAAACTTCAAATCTGGAGAGAGATCAAGCCCCTTCCACAACAAGGCGTACCCACAGCGGGCTGCAAATTCAGCGAGGATAGTGAAAACCAGGGCTCAGTCACCCCTTATTTTCAGTGGAGCCCCTGTATCTGAAGGTGGACAATCGGGATAAATGGCCCATTTATGACATTCGTGAGCAAATGAGAGAGGCTGCCTTTGCCTGTGGCATCACCTCTTCTCTTTACCAGCTCTGTGGTTTCACAGACGTCTTAGATGGTTACAGACCTTAAAGACCGCTAGCTTTGGGGGCCTATCTTATACTCAGTGATGATAAACGTGCATTAATATATATATAGTTTTCTATTAAAATTACAGGCGTATTTTCTCTCCTGATTATTCAACTGCATTAGCAAATGTGAAAAAATCACTCTGAACTTGGATCCGATAAGAGGGATCGGGAGTAGGGTGCATCTGTGCTTTGCCAAAGCTGTGTTTCATTACTTTTCAGAATTAGCTGGCAATGTCTCCACGATATTTACCGAAGTGCAAACCAAATGTTTTCATCTGGACAAAAATCAAACTGTGGTATGTTACAACCACAACAGAAATCATTTTAATCCAAAAGCTTGCTTTCTCTCATTTGGACTGTGGTTTCTATAAAATTGGATTCTCCGCCATGAATCATGTACACAGACAAACCAACCAAACCTTTCCTCCCTCTATCTTCCCTCCCCGATCGGGTCTTGATCTTAAGAAGCTGGGGTTTGGCTCTCTTCTGGAAAGACCGTGCAGGGATTCCCTGCACACTGCCATGTAGCTGAAGACGCCCATTCTGTTGCTTGACCCAGTTAGCATGGGGCAGGCCCACTGAGTTGGCATTTCTGGAGATTCATCTTTAGGGGAATGAAAAGAAATCAGACCTTGTTATCATATTAACTTAAAAGCAAAACTTCAAAGTGAACTAATAAGAATGGGGGGGAGGGAGGATCACCTACCCATTTCCAAGGTCTGAAGACAGGAGGGGCTCCGTCCTTTGAAATGGGACTGAAGTCACCAAGAAAGAGCAGGAACAACTGCCTTAGCTGACGACTTTAGTTTTTGAGAGAGAGGTTTTTGTTATAGGGTGATAGGGTGCATGCACTCACTGGAGAGGTAGAATCAGAAAGCAAGAAATTAGCCTCCAGGTGAGATGGCCACACACAATCCCTTTTCCTCCATTCTCTTCTCAGGATCTTGGGCACACAAGCACACGTGCCTGGTGTGTTTTAAGTCCCTGGGGCCAGGACTCAAGCCGCAGTTGGCTACGTGGGAGTTTAGCAACGTAACCGTATGCCATCTGCTGGTCCCTAGCTGACAACTTGAACAAGATGGGGGGCACCAAGCACCCAGACACTCGGAACCAAATGTCTACATTCATCACACGCATTCGTGTGTACACACGTGAGCCAAGTTCCCTAAAAGACTGTGGGGTGACACATTTAACAGCACCCTTTCTGGCCCGCAGATCAGCCTTAAGATTTAAGAAGGAAAAACAATTTACAACGAGATTTTCCAAGCCGTCAGCCATTTTCAAACTACCCTAAAATTATTTTCTCAGTCCTGATACTCCATGTGTTCTTATCTTCTTTAAAGTGATTTGCACTCAGGTTTTAAAAGATTTATCTTATTATATCAACAAGCAAAAACTAGTGTCACGTGACCTGAAGAGAAAATAACAATTAAAATTACGATAAAAATTAGGACATGCTCACCTAGGTCCTACTGGCACTGCTGGAGGGGAGTGAGGCAGGGACTGAGGAAACAGCTTCCTGTGCTCAAGGGCTGTGCTTCCTTACGGAATCGGAGCTGCCCACGCATCAATGCCCACCTTGGGAATGCATGCGTGTAGGTTGTGTGCATGCCCCCAACAGGTGCCAAGTTCTGAAAAAGATGGCAGATGGAGCCCAGAACTGGACAAAAGCGTCTCGACACTGGCAGTAGCTCACTCAGCGTCAGACTTGGAGTTAGCCCTTTATAAAAAGCACATAAAGCCTTAGGCCAAAACAATCATGGGGCCAGCAGGTAGCTGGGTGGTTAAGGTGCTGGACTCACACATGGCCAACTGTGGTTCGAGCTCTAGACCCAGCAGCATAAAAATCACGCCGGGCACGTGTGTGTGCATCCCCAAAATCCCAAAAGGAGAATGAAGGAAAAAGGACTGTAGTGTGGCCATTCCCCCCCATGGGGGGTGGGGGTGGGGGTGGGATTTTTCATTTTCCATCTGTCTCTCTCATGTGCACATGCACTCTATGGCAAACACTTAAAAAAAAAATGACCCCAAAGTTTGTGACATAATATTTAGGTAAGCACTTTCCTCAGCTCACACCGAAGTCCTATCGCTAGCCTAACCCATGGCTGAGACAGCAAATATCTTGCTATCAAATCAGATTGTCATCGATGTGTATGTGAGAACAAAGGCAAGGCACTTC